CTTTGACTTGAAATATTTATAGATTTTCTTTATGTGTCACTTGTTTTGATGACTAATAGTTTCCTTTGAAATTCGGGGATGGGGTCACAGGAAATTTTTCGATAGAGTTCATAGATCTGACTTGAGACTAAAAGATTATAGTTTTCGCAGGATATGGGTATTCTAATAGTTCTTTTACAAATATCCCAATTGTCGGAGCATATGTCAAATATGATTTAATAAAAAAGATTACTTGGCTCAAAACTCTCAAATCCACATAATTATTTTCCAAAATATCTGCTCTAACTCTAAGTTATAATCAGGAATATTTGCTTGTTACAGTGAGCAATATGTTTGGATTACTAGTCTTAGATGCTTACAATGGATAAATGATTTTTTCAGGGATAGGAGAAACCTAATCTTACGATGAAATCCCAAATTATGGGGCTTTAATGGATAAAAACAACAGTATTTTTGTGATTTACTAAACTCAGACTACATAGTAAGTTATCATTCAGAAATTTTCATTCGATCTTAAACATACTATTTGGAAGCAACTCCTACTATCATCAGGTAAGCCAAGTGTTATAAGGTATAGAGATTCAGATGAGTAAATTTTCGCTCTTGCAGATTACTATTATTCTAAAACCAGTTCATATTAGAGAAGCTTTAGTTTAATTAAAATTGATTCTTAGAACGCTTCATCTAAATTCTGGAATATTGAATTTACACTACCAGATTTCAAAAATGCAAAAACTTATGATTTAAGAGTAGAGGGTAAATATGCTGCAGGATGTTTTTATTCAAACTAAGTAGGTGGATATATCGCTTTTAATGAAGCTACTTCTCAATATTAACTTAGGCATTTTTCACACTCAGCAGGATTCCTGTGTTTAGGAATATATCTTATGCCTAATTCTTCATTAGCTTTTTTTTACCGCCTTCTAAATTCTGGTGTCCAATTTAGATATTGGATAACCTTTGATCCATTCGGTGAGCCCAATAATGACTTTGACCTAAAGACATTTGACTACTCTAAACTATATCCAAGTTCTTATCAGTTTTAATATTTTAAATCAGTTGGTTGGATGAATTTCTATTTCATCGGTAATGATGGAATTTCAAGAACCAAAGGATTTATTGAATCTAATTTCCCTTAATAAACATGCAGGACTCCTCCATTATTAACTTCATTAGGTCCAAGGACTAAACTTAACCCCAAACCTACAATGAATACATCATCTAAAACAGGGGTAAGCAATGGATTTACCAATATGGTAATATAAATATTTACAGTTGATACTACAAAAAATATTCTTACACCAAATGGTTACTGCAAACAGCCTGTTATTGTGAGTATTTAAAATCCAACATCTTATAATTCATCTATTATATGCTAAGTGAATCAACCTTGCAATGTAGTTATAGGGAAATATTATTCGCCTTAAAACTGCACTGATGCTCCTAAGATTTAATATTCAATGATAGATACTTCAAATGAAAGTTTTCCTATTTTCTATCAGCAAGCTATGAATGCTGATTAAATCAATATAACATTTAACCCAGGTTATCAATTTATCGGTAATAGAAAATATAAGATCATTGCTTAGATGCTCATTAATGGATCTGTTTATACAGAAAATACTGATGTCATATTCAATATCACCGTTTATGATATTTGTCAAACAAGTTTTCAATTCATTAATACTCCTTTTGTATAAGATTATTACTACTTAATTGGAGGTTCAACAATTTTAATTTAGTTTGAATAAGTATCCTGGACTCCTGCTCACTGTGCCAATGAAATTATTTTTACCAGCAATCTTCCTGAGTTTATTATTTTAAATAGCAGAACTTGATTATTTTAGATATATACTTCGAATGTTACATAAATCGGGTTTTATTAGATTTCAGTTACAGGGACATTATAAAATTAATATTAAAATAAATTATACTTTGACTGGAAATTGTATGTTTAAGATCCTAAATTTGTGATTACTGAAAATACTCCACCTTATTTCTTGACTCCACTTAAAGATTAGGAATTAACTTGCAACTCATTAAATACTTATTAGTTACCAAACGCTTAAGATTTAGAAAATGACAATATTTAGTTATTTGTTGATTTAGGCTTAGCTTCTATTTTTACTGTTTATGAGAATTAGAAATTTAGATTTTTCCCGATCTGCACATTTGGGGGAATAGAAACCTAAATAAAAATAACTCTGCAAGATGATAGTAAATACTCTAAGTCTAGCATTCAATATCTCTAAATTAAATTGAAATAAGTAACACTCAATAATAGCAATAATTTAGATAATCTTGGTAATCATCATCCTATATGTACTCAAAATAAAGAACTTATTGCAAGAATATCACTCGTGACTAATAAAGGAATGGTTTATATCAAGTTTAATAAAGATATTAAAAATGATACTGTTGTTTAAAAACAAATAGAAAAAGGCCTTTAATTTAGAGTGAATAAGGTTTATAGTCAAGGTGTTTAAAGTGCTAAAACATACAAGATGGTATAAATGACTAATAGAATACTAAAAATATAAGTTGAATATCAGAATCCTTAGTAAATATCACTTTTAGGGGTGAGACTTTTAAAATCATAAATTTATTTATAGGAATAGGACGATCTCCGCATGATAATTTTGAATAATGAGATGATAATGACTGTTAATGATTCAAATTGTATTTAAATTGATGCTGAATACCTCAGCAAAATTCCTCCTTAACTGTTGGATTCTGGTATTAAAAATATTTTCTTTATTAAATTTCAGGTATGTCAGCTATTATGCAAGCTGGAGTATCAGCAGCTTAGATTACAATATCTGCTATATTTGGTTCAAACATAATTCTTGCATTCCTATTGTAATATATTTCAAAATTCAAATTCAATCTTTAGTGGATTAGCTTGCCAATAAATTTGGGGCTTATTTAGTAGTTTCCAAATCATAACTCATTTACCCTTAATGGCTATATAACTACCAGGAAATGCTCTTTATTTTTATAGATTAATTTATGACTTAGCAAACTTAAACTTAATCCCAGTTGATGGACTTCAAAAAATTATGTTTTCTGATTTGAAATTTTCAAATGACGATCCAGAAGATAATATAGATGATTACTACCCTATTAATATTCACTTCTATCAAATGGGATATGAAAGTTCTAATTTTATTCTTAATTCTGGATTATTATTCTTTATGACTATACTGATTAGCCTCTCCTTTGTAATTGTTTTATTGTTTTCAAAGCTTACTTTCAAAAATACAATGTAAAACTAATATCTTCCTATTTTATTATAGATTACTAAAGTTTTAAATACACATGAAAAACTTATTTATATACAGTTCATTGCTAAGATTTGTTGAGCAAAGTTGCTTTGAATTTGGAATATGTTCTCTTATAAATATTAAAGAGGTAACAATAAGTTAATTATATTTAATTTAATTTCTTGTCATAGGATCGAGGAAGGGGCAATTAAATTGATAGAGCAGGATTTCTGATATCTTGGATTATAATGTCGATAGTCTTAATATATCCTTTTTTTATCCTGGCTTTACTATAATACAAATTCAAAGACCTTAAAAAAGATTATCAAAGAAGCAGAATTGGATCATTGTATGGAAACTTAAATTTAGAATCTAGATGGACATTGCTTAACCTCCCTCTTTAAATTATCAGAAGAAACCTATTCTCAGTCATTTTTATTTACTTAGATGAGATTCAAGTACTTTAGAGCTTTTTTGCTATTATGTCTTCATTATTAATGATGGTATTTTATTTGAGAGTGAAGCCATTTAAAAGTTATGCCTAGTCAATGATTGAATTTTTCAATGAAGGATGTATATTATTTCAGTGCTATTATATGCTTTTGAATACAGAAAATGATTTAGTTAGCGTAAATGAAAAAAATCTTAGATTAAATCTTGGATGGTTTACAATTGGACTAACTTTACTTTATCTATTGGTAAATACTTTGATTGTTTTGATATAAATGTTTGGTCTGATATTCTTGAAATTAAAGTAAAAATGCAATTAAATTAACAAATCTCACAGATATAAAATCTAAACTTGTTAAAGTAACTCAGGAATATAAAAATAATATATAGAATAATAAAAAACAACAGCTGGACTTTAAATTATTAGAAAAATAGTTCAAAGCTAATTTAGATCGTTCAATAGAGAAGTGAAAAAATCTAATTTATAATTTCAGGAACAAAATATTTCTTATTTTACAAGTAAAATATATATCAGAGAAGATATAAAAGAGTCTTAATAAGATTTTTGCTTAAACACTTCAATAAACTAATCTCATGATAATATAATAGAAGACAAGCAATAAACGTAGCCATTCAGTAATATTGGATAAAAAATCGTAAAACCTTAGATAAAACATAAAAAGGAAGTCCCTTAGGGATAGAAATTCAAAGTTTAAAATAGTTAATCAACAGGACACTAATAAGCTTTAAGGGGAAGTGATTAAAACTACAACTAATTTGAGGATTTATCTTATAGTTTCGATTGAAGGAAAGAATATTAAATGACCTAAAATTTTATTTGTGAGTTATTACCTATGAAACAATGTTTCATTTACTGATGTAGATATAATAGCTCAAAGATTATGAAAGTAATTATAAATTTCTAATAGGATATTGATTATATTGAATTTCGTTAGCTAATCATATAATATTCTAATTATCTAATCATTAATGTTTTTGCTGATAATTTAGTGTCATGGGGTTTTGGGGTTTTGGGG